GGGTTATTTGCTTTTCTTATTTCTAGAGATAGAATAGTACAATTGAAAAGGGTAATTTTAGAAGTCTAAGCAAATATTTGATGTTTTGTTCATTTGTTTAGGTTTATTGTTTTCATCATCCACTACATATACACTCTCTGTACTAGGAGAATCCCCTTCCTTCAGTCCATTGCTCTTCTAGGTAGAAGACATGAACTCACTTTCTCAGCCTCCCTTGCAGCTAAGATGCAGCCATGTGACCTGGGCTCAGCCAATCAGATCTGAAAACTCAAAAAGCAGGTACCAGTGGCCCTCAGCAGGCAAGATGGAGGTGATCTCTGAAACAGCAGTAGCATCAACTCTAGTTCAGCATCCAAGTCTGACATTGGCTTGGAGACCTGTGCTTCTGTGTCCAGCAAAGTAGAGAAAGGGTTGCATGTGGAGCAGTTCTGTGCTATAAATTGGGGATTATTCCTGGTGTGTAACCTCCGTGTCTCCAAACCAAAGAGATACCTTCCCAAAGATGATATTATGTGATTTAGTAAATTCCTTTCTGCTTCAACTAGTTAGAGTGGGTTTCTGAAGCAAATTACTTAATCACTCTGAGTCTGTTTCCTCAGCCATAAAACTGAAAATAGGAGTGCCCAAGATTGTTTTAAAGATTAGAGCTAATGTACATAATATGCTTAGCCCCATAAGAGCCTGAAAGATGGCTGGTATTACTTGCATCATAAAGAGCAGTGATGTCCTGTTCAAGTGTCTGTACAAATAATTGAGGTGAAAAACCCTGAAAAGGTTGGCTTTACAAATGAGCATTTCATGGTCAAGTATTGTTAATGCAGAAAAACAAAACAAGAAGAATTAATGGTACCTTTGGATCCAGGATTGTTCCAAACACCAGGATGAAGAAGCCCTGAGAAAAAGAAAAGAGTGGAGAAGAGCAATTTAGAAAGTAATATTGATAATAACAAGAAATACCAGTATTCATTATCATTTCCTATTCTGAAACTGATAAAACTAATAACAAAACAAAACAAAAATGCAGACCATATGATTCAATCTGTGACTCATTTTATAGTCACAATACCTAGATTCTTCCACTCAACAAATATCAATAGTGTGTCTTCCGTGTGCCAGCCATGTTCTAGGCACTTGGGGTACCCCAGAAAACCAAACAGACCAAGGTCCCTAATTCACACAAACATATTATAAGAATTTCTCTTTAATTTGAGCAAAATAAAAGTGATTTACATTTATCAGGAGCTGTGCATCTCATCAGAATATAATGGCCCCTGCAATAGCCAGGAGATGTTAGGCAATGAATGGCAGCCTTACAATCCCTGAATAATTAGTAGAGATATTTCCATAGAAAATAAAATAAAAAAGTATCCATGCTCAGCTTTATTTAATACCCTCAACCTCCTTCCCCCATCCACAACCAAAAACTGTTATAAAATTTGCAAAGAAAAATTAAGTACATGGATCATCAGAAAAACCAAGACTCCAAACAGATTGAGTTTCTAAGCACATACTAGGTGCTCATAAATAAGTGATTCAAATATAATATAGAGGAAATTAATTAGCTCTCATATCTCTCATCATCCATAAAAAATATAATGATGGAGGCTGTTCCTCCATCATTATAGTCCATTTAAGTTTTAGTCTTTTTTTATATGTAGCCGTACAAAACCATCTGGGAAGAAGGAAAAGTATTCATTCTATTTTGCAGATAAGGAGAGGGAAGCTCAGACCCAACTTGCAAAATGTGATAGACAGCATTATTGATTAGACAAAATTCCTCTTAAAAGTGTGAATACTCAGGTCTCTATTCATCTGAGAAGAGAAATAAGATAATGACCTCTGATTTACGCATCCTTATTAAGTTGCTCTGATTGCATAATCAAATATGAACGCTTACCCAGGCAGAGGCCTGTCGAGGCACATGGGTGAAATACAAAATAATAAAGATGTTATAACCAGGTTGTCATCAGCAAGAATGACACCAAACCCACTGCTGCCACAATTTGCAAACGCTTAGCTGAGAGGTGGAGGACCTCACAGTGACCAGTGCCTGGATGGCCATGCAGCTAATTCATTCCTCCAAACATACTAACTATACTTCTCTATTCAGCCAGTCTAGCAAGTGCTCTGAGCTTGGGGTGCTTCTCTTAGTTTGCTGTTTTGTCTGACACTCTTAGCTGTCCATCTAGAAACCAGGAAGTACGTTCTCACAAGACACCGAATCTGCTCATGCCTTGATCTTGGACTTCTCAAACTTCCAGAAGTTTGAGAAATAAGTTTTTGTTGTTCATAAGCCACCCTGAATTGTATGGGTCTGCAAATTTTACCGAGCCCACAATTACTCTCAGTAAAGACAAGAGAAGATACCAACTAGAAGTGGTACCGAGACAATGCAGCAACTGACTGTACAGGGTGGGGCCAAAGTGTGTTTACAGTGTTCATAGGGAACATAATACAATAATTATTAAGTGATAATATAAGAACAAATTCTGTGTTTCAAGTACTCACAGCTGTAAACTGTGTTTGCCTCCACAATGTGTAATATCCTTCCCTAGTAAAATGGATGGTTGATTTTAAAAACCAGTGGATGTGCTCCCACAAGCCTATGACCAAGAACCTTTCAAAGAGTCTTTCTCCTACACCTCTGGGTCTCCTGGGATATTTATGGTTTTTCTTCTCTGCTTGCTCCATCAGCCAGAGTTGCCCCTCATCTCGGTTCATCCTAAGACTCTGCTTGTCCCACTTCTTCCTGCTCAGTAGTTTCTGTCTCCCACCTCTCAGGACCTGTGGCTCTCCTTCTCTCCTCCCAAGGATATCTTGATCCACATGGCTCCCACCATGGTTGATTTAAATCTAGCAACATGACATCGCTGACCATGGAGTTAGGAAGAGATGGGCACATCCATTCTCTCAGTGTTTCCATCATACAGATACAGCAGATTCAAATAACCTCAAGAGCATAGCAGAATGTAGAGAAAAAAAAAAAAACAATTAGGGAGGGATTCATCTGGAGAATGTTTGACCTTCAATTTGAATCTAATTTACTTAATTGTAATTCTACATAATTTAATGATGTCTATGTTTACACCACCTTGAAAATATGTTGAAAATACAGTAGTTAGCTCTCCTGGTCAGTACAAGCCAGCTCCGGAACACCACTGTCTCCTGCCTGCCCTGGAGTCTGGCCTTGACCAAACCCTGCTCTGAGCTTCTCACTGGCCCATGGGTATTGGTATTTAGATGAGCCCCACCCTCCTCCTTGCCAGGTATCAAGGCAGAAACTGAGTTTAAATTACAAGTGGATCTTGTTATGACAGGGAAAAAAGCTTATGATACCAAAATACAAGTGCTCACAACCTAGTACAAAATGAAAAACACAGTCAAGATGGCCCAAGGGAGATAAGGTAAGGAATATGTGAGGACTAAGACATGAACTCATTAAGTAGATGACAAATAGCTCCTGTATATGCTGAACGGAAATTTAGGAACACTAGGTTTTTATCCCAGTTCTATCAGCGACGAGCTGCATAAACATAGGCAAGGGAATTGATAATTATTAAGAACTATATAAGAAGTGTAGGGTACAATTAATATACTCTATGGAAATGCACAAAAGAGACAACAGAGATTCAAATGATTAGGCACCCCTCTTATTGTTAGCATTGTTCTCTACGACATTAAAATGTGTATTGTAAATAAAATCATGTGTATTTAAATTTTTAAAGAGAAAAGTGAAAAAAAAATTTGACATAAAATCTCTATAATTTCCAAATTAAAAAAACATTCAGGAAAATAAATATTTTAGAAGTCTATAAAAATAAAAGGCTTCCTTTTAATTAGTTTTTATTTACATATTTAGCATTCAAAATAATAAACTTGGACTCATTAGTGCACTGTGACAGAAAAAAATGAAAAAGAAATTTCATTCAAGAAGGGAATTGTTGAATGTTAAATAATATTTAGCCATTAAAGAGACATAGCCTGGCAAAATGCTAGGATGTATTTTTAAGTGGTAGAGTAAGTTCCAAAATACTATGCATTGTTTTTTAACTCTTATATTATGTGAAAATATGCTTATATGTAAGTATAGAAAGTTTGGCAAAGATGTGCATGAAACTGTGGATATTTTTTTCATTCACAGAGATGAAATAAGAGAGGAAAGAATAGGGGGAATTATCTTTAATACCATTAAGATGGTTTTCAGTGATAACTAAACATTCTAAATGGAATAAATGTGAATGTGCATATATAAATACTCCAATTACATACCTAGATTTGGAGGGAAGTGTTATTGTTTCATTTCTAAACTAGTTAAAACTCAGCTTACTGTTAGGCTACTTGGTGTTGTCCCATTCACTATTTTATTTTATAAATATTTTCCAAAAACTACTATAAAGTGAGCAGATTATACTCAATTAATAAGTGAGAAAAATAAGACTTAGAAAAGTTAAGCAAATATCCCAGGAGAATGTTACACATTAGTAAATGAGAGAGTCAAGATTTGAATCCAGGCCTTTCCGAAACAAAAGTTTATTTCATGACTCAATAGGCTATTCCAAATCCACTGTTTTTTGTTTTTTTTTTTATAAATAAACTAGACCCCAGTGCATGAAATTAATGTTCATGCACAGGGTGGGGGGGTGGAAGGGCGCGGAAAGGTAGGGTCCCCTCAGTCCAGCCTGACCCTCTCCAATCCAGGACCCTTCAGGGGACATCCAATTGCTGGGATCAGGCCTAAACCAGCAGTTGGACACTCTTCTCAAAATTTGGGACTGCTGGCTCTTAACCGCTCACCTGCCTGATCGTCCCTAACCACTCTGCCTGCTTACCTGATCGCCTCTAACTGCCTCTGCCTGGCCTGCCTGCCATGCCTCAGCCCTTGCCACAGTGGTTTTGTCTGGAAGGACATCCAGAATGATGTCTGGAAGGTCGTTCAGCTGTCCAGTCTAATTAGCATAATATGCTTTTATTAGTACAGATATGTTGGCACACTCTCCTGATCACAAAAGTTCTTTCCAAATTCTCTCACTTTTGACTTGGTCAGAAGGGTTTGAACTTACCTGGAAAGCATTAAGCAAGGAGAAGAGAATGTGGAAGACGAGGGAGCTATCGTCGATGACTGTGGCTATTCCAAATCCCCAGGTCAGGCCCAGCAGTGGTGTGAGGATGGCGATATTCTTACTGATTCTCACAATGGCTCTCACCTCCTGGAACATGGAACTGCCAATGGTAGCTCGCCGGGTTTTGACAATCACCAGTGTCACTGTGATCAGGTTTACTACCACAATGGTCAGAGCTGGGACCACAAAGGCCAGGAGGGCCTTGGTCATGTTCCAGTTGAGCCAGCAGGCCTCAGGTCGAAGATAGCCTTTGCCAGGCTCAGTGGCAGCAACTGTAATAACAGCAATGACCAAAGGGCAACCATATCCCACTGAAAAGAGAGATGCCACCAGGACTGACTTGGGCAGTGTATGGAAAACAATCAAGATTCCATAGAGGATAAGAAGTGCCTTAGCGAGCATCCAGAAAAACACAGCAAGGTAAAAGAAATGAACAAAAAACGTTGCTGCCACACATCCATTATGGTGTGTTCTTGGACCACTAAGAAAGGAAGCCACGATGAACCATGCATCAGCCATCAGCAAGGTAGCTGCGACGTTAGCAATGCACAAGTGGCGTAAATACGAGATCTCTGTCTTCGTCACTCGGCTCCAGACCAAGGCCTCGATGGACAAGCAAAGGATCAAGCTGCAAATAGAAACGCCCAGGCCTATGTATGTGATGTAAGTCAGGATGGGGCTCCGCAAGGTATGTGGTGACATAAGAATGGAGAAGGAGGTAAACAACTTGCTTGGCCTACATTTGCACACAGCTTGCTGGGAGGTTTCCTGAATCATCTGGCAGGCATGCTGGTCCCATCTGCTCTCTAACGAGTGCCAGCCAACACACTGTGTCCTCCTGTCCTCTGAATTCTGGATCTTTTCAAAAACCAGTGAGATTCTTTTAAGTTCCTTGGGCAAAATGACAGACAGGACAAGTCCGTTCACAGTGACGTTTTCCAAAAGGCTGGCTTCTAAGATGGCTCCAAGGGTTGGAAATGCAATGCTGACGACCTGAGAAGGAGAACGTACCTTCTGGGCTTCATCCCTGCTGATCAGCACCCTCCCAGTGACTCTACTGCCAGTGTCATTAACTCTCATTGAGAAAGTTAAATTCTTTCCCTTGGTATCTCCAGTTATGGAGGTGCACATAGTATGAATAAAGACATCCGATATGTCGATGGGATATTTATTTATGAGCAGCTTTCTTGCAAAGCTATTGACTGAGTGCAGGAGCACACAGCTGCTGTTTTTCTCAGGGATGAAGGTCCAGTTTGAGATGCTTTTGCTGTCAAGAATGTGGTTGGCCATGATGCTGTAACTCTGTCAATGAAGAACCGGCATTAGTATTGAGATACTGTCTGAATCTGCCAGGACATTCAAGCTTTACTTTTTTTTTTTTTTTTTAAAGCTTTACTGTTGAAAGTATTACATATGTCCCCCTTCTTCCCCAATTGACCCCTTTTAGCCACCCTAGAGCTTCACCACACTATTGTCTGTGTCCATGGGTTATGCATATATGAATACAGTACTTCGGTTGATCTCTTCCCATCTGCCCACACACCTTCCCCTGCCTTTCCTCTGAGATTCCATAGTCTGTTCTATGCTTCTATGTCTCAGGATCTATTTTGTTCATCAGTTTATTTTGTTTATTGGATTCCACATATGAGGGAGATCATGCGATAACTGTCTTTCTCTGACTGGCTTATATCACTTAGCATAATGCTCTCCAGGTCCTTCCATGCTATCTCAAAGGGTAAGAGATCCTTCTTTTTACTGCTTCATAGTATTCCATGGTGCAAATGTACCACAGCTTTTTTATCCACTCATCTATCGATGGGCACTGGGCTGTTTCCGGATCTTAGCTATTGTAAATTGGACTGCTATGAATATAAGGGTGCATATATTCTTTCTGATTGTTGTTTCAGGTTTCTTAGGATATATTCCTAGAAATGGGATCCTTGGGTCAAATGGTAGTTCCATGTTTAATTTTCACTTTTACAAAGTGTGCTCCTTCAACCGGTTATAGCATGTCCTGGGAACCTCTTAAAGATACAGAATCTCAGGCCCTATTCCAAATCTTGTGAATCAGAATGAGCATCTTAACGAGAATCCCACGTGACTCACATGCTGCTCAAGTTTGAGTTGGAGGATAGTTACAAGGGAGCGCCCTGTCCCTGCTTGTGTGATGCTTTCCTGTGAGACAGGCAAATGGGCAGCCTTCACCGTGTTCCTTTCCATCATCTGTTCCACTTCACACCTAGGTGACACTAGCAATTTGCCTACCCTGCCCAGAGCACCCACTATGTAATTAATATCTACTAAATCCCAACTGTGTGCGGGGCTTTGTACAGGAACTTGACACATTGGAAGCTGACCCCAGAGGCTGGACCTCCTTTTTCTTATCCTCTACTTTGAAGGTCAAACACAAAGGAAGCATGTCCAATTCCATTTCACATTTCTGCAGCAGACCTATCTGGTTGTTTTTGGGGGCACTCAGTTATTTTCCATTTTAGCCACCTGATTCACAAATAAATGTCTTCCTCTCTGTAGGACCTATAACAGTTCTTAGAGATTCACAGTAGCCAAAACATACATTGGAAAAGCTTGCTTCAATGTCCAATCCAGCACTTGGTAAGTGTTCTTTTTAAATGCTTGTTGATTGAATGTATTCACTTTTCTCATTATTTTTTTCCCCTGCAATAAGGATTTATTTTAAACATTTACCAGTAATGGAAATACTGAAGTGAAAGACCTGGTCTCCTCAAACCCCAAAAGCTCCAACTAAACCTGTATTCCTTTCCCACCACCCCCCCTAAAAAAAAAAAAAAGAAAAAGAAAAAAGAAAACACAAATGTTCTCCCGGGTGCTCAAGGCCACTCACCTGCATCTTTGCTTCGTCCACATCTGTTGACAGCATTGTCGATATGTTGTGTAGTAGCTGCACGATGACAGCGATGTTTCCTGGTATCCGGGGAGAACGCTGGATGTTCTTAATGACACAGGACAAATCCTGCGGACACTTCTGCATCAACTTATCTGCAATGGTCTCAGACTTCTTGACATATTCCTTTGAGTATACAGTACTTCCAAATGATGGTACTGTACTTAAATCCTCCTAAGAAATGGCAAAAAGAAAGTTTGTTATCATGTTACTCTTGTTTTCAAGGTAAAAGTACCTTTACTACAATGTAGGACAGCCTTATTACATAGTTTTATATTGCATAATGGTTTTCTATTTTACATTGTCAAGGTCACATCTGCTGTGGAACCACCTGCCCAACACCAAGGTGTATGAACAGCTGCCTCCTCCTGAACCCCCACCCCTATATCCAAACAGCAATTGTTATCCTTAGCACACCCTTCCACACCCCTTCTGTGTACATATATTGTGCACATGGGTACATTTCTACTGTTATTTAAACTCACTTATGATACTTCCCAAGGGCAAAACATAAACATATTTTTAAAAAAATAGAAATTCTTAACTGGATTTGAATGAATCACCTGGAACACCAAGACAGAAGAATGACTAAAAGTAGTGATAGCATTTCCCCATAGATCAAGCTCTGGGTCCCACACTTTAAGCAGAGTAGCAAACTATGGCCACAGGTTTGCCATCTGTTTTTTGTTTTTGTTTGTTTGTGTGTTGTTGTTTTTTTATAAATAAGGTTTTGTTGGGACTCAGCTTGTTCATTCACCTACTTACTTAGATTCACTGCTTTTTACTACCATAGCAGAGTTGAATAGTTGCAACAGAGACCAAAGTACCCACAATGCCAAAAATATTTACTATCTGGCTCTTTACAGAACAAAATTTCCAAATTGCCAAACCTTGTGTTAGTGGAACCCTTTCTCCAGTCTTCCCCTTCAGGCAGACAAAGAACCCATGGCCTAGAGGATGGGCCTACAAAGAACCCACGTCCCTGCTTCTAGACACCTGATTATTCTATGTGACAACAGCAAGCCCATTTCCAGGGCCTTCCCTAAGTCTGTGTTGCCACAGAGGGGCCAGGCCATCTGTAGGCCTGAGATGTGTCACAGGAACACCTGTGTTCAGGCTTATGGAAATGTGGCCTTGGCTTTCCACCACCCGTGAGGTGCAGGATGGATTCTAGAATGGGAGGCTGACAGAATCTGCTTTATTTAGCAGTTTGTAGACTTGATTGACAGCATTTCAATATCAGGACATATGGAATGTGGGTCTCCATGTGTACTTTGCCCTGTTCCTTCAAATCAGGGATGGGCAGCCTCTTGAAGTCTGGTAGGGGAACCTCAGGTATAGCATCCACTGCCTCCCCCAGCCATACCCCACAACAGGGGATGGGAATGTTGCCAGGGCATGAAAGAGGCCAAACATTGACTCCCCTGAACGAAGCAGGAACTGACCTTCAGAAAGGTAATGATCCTGATAGAAGAGGAGAAAAGGAAACAAAGGAAGACGAAAGGCATTTGAATTTTATTTACTGGAATTGGACTTTTTAAAATATGTAACAATTGAAGTATATGTGGGAATGTGTTCCTTTGTTTGGCAATGAAGTCCTTCCCTCCAGGTTCAGCTCTCTTCTCATGCTTTACTGAGCACCACAGTCACATGGAGAGCTTGGTAAAAATGCAGATATGGATTCAGCAGGTCTGAATAGAGCACGATTGCCTAGTGTCTGAAAGTTCTCAGAATTCCCTGTGTTGCTGGCCAGTTAAGGACACATTGAGTAGCTGGGCTTTGGGGTATTCAAGAGCTGAGTGGAAGTAGAGGAGTAAACTGAGGAGTCTAGACAGCTCTGCTAGCTCTGGCCTAAGTGATCTGGTTCCTTTGTGTCATGGAAAATGTGGGAGACTGGAGCACAGACTTTTAGATGCCCAAAGTTAGGGACGCCATTCCAGTATATATGTACAGAGAACAGGTAGATGTTTATTTTTCAGCTGCAAGCTCCTCTACTTACCACCCCATCCCTCTCTCTTATTGAGTGCAACATGCATTGCTAATTTGAGGTTCCACTTTGCATGTGAGAGAAAAGATATTATTACCTCAAAGATGTTGGAGGCGGTAAGAGTCTGGCAGGTATCAGTGATCTTGTGCCATTTATTTCGCCTACATAAAAACCCCATATTTCCCGAAGTATCTGGAGGGCAAGGTTGACTGCAGTGGGAATTGTCCACACAGACCCCATCACATGCACCTGGGAAGATAAAAGGCATTAGCATCAGATGGAGAGGTATGGACTCAGGGCTCAAGGTGTTGCCACATGAAGCACATAAATCCTGTGGACATCAGGTGACTTTGTAAAGTGGAGGAAGATTGAAGTAGATCAGTGACCATCATATACAGGGTGTCCCCAAAAAATGTATACACACTGTAATAAGTGATACCTCCATTTTGAAAATGAAATGTATTTTAATTAACACTGCCTTTATAATTATTCAAAGTATGTGCATACTTTCTTTGGGACACACTATATTTCAGTGACAAACTACTATGATTTCCAACAAAATATTTTCCTGAACTCAAATGTAGAAAATAGCCGGGCTGGTGTGGCTCAGTTGGGTGAGCGTTGTCCCATGCACCAGGAGTTTGCTGGTTCCATTCTCTGTCAGAGTGCATTCCCAAGTTGCAGGCTCAATCCCCAGTAGGGGGTGTGCAGAAGGCAAGCTGATCAAGGTTTCTTTCTCATAGATGTTTCTATCTCTCTCTCCCTCTCCCTTCCTCTCTCTGAAATCAATAAAAACTTATTTTAAAAAAATAGTTAAAAGTGAAACTGGCCCAGTTGAAATGAGTGGGAAGAGCCCAGGGGTCAATCCTGAGGTCCCTCTCACATCTCACAGGAACACCCTGAGCACCTCCTCAGACCCCTCCAGGAGGAGACAGTTTGGAAGCCATTGTAAGATGTTCTCTAAGAAACCCCCAACTCTGGAACCTTGTAATCAGTTACATCATCACTGGGTTCTCACAGACCTCTGCTAGCCACTGCCCCAGCCTGTGTTGGCTCAATCCAAAGGATTTATAATAAATAATTCCAAGACCAGGATGGAACAGAGGATGCTGGCAAGAGAGGAAGCAGAGGTCAAAGGAGCATTTTAATATGAGAAATATAAAAAGGAAGTCCCGCCGGAACCGGTGAGGCTCAGTGGATAGAGCGTCGGTCTGCGGACTGAAAGGTCCCAGGTTCGATTCCGGTCAAGGCCATGTATCTTGGTTGCGGGCACATCCCCTGTAGAGGGTGTGCAGGAGGCAGCTGGTCGATGTTTCTCTCTCATCGACATTTCTAGCTCTCTATCCCTCTCTCCTCCTCTATGTAAAAAATCAATAAAATATATTAAAAAAAAAAAAAAAGGAAGTCCCAATGCAAACCATCAAGGAGTCCCATCTGCCAGTTGGCTCAATCCAAAGGATTTATAGTAAATAATTCCAAGACCAGGATGGAGCAGAGGGTTTACAGATGGACAGTAAAACTTTCATTTCATTAGTAATTGCTACCAACATACCGTGTGGCTTGGCGGACACTTTCTCCTTGCTTTTGCTGGCAGCCTAGAGAGAGAAAATCAAAATCAATTGGTGAGAAGCCAATCCAATGATTCACTTTAGTCACAAGCCAACAACCACAACTTCACCAGCTGTGACACCAGGATGCCATCAGAAGCTGAGGCCAGGACATGTGGCCTCTGACCCCCTCTGCCCTTTACCCTGGATAGCTATCTCTCCCATGGCTGTTCAGTAGGATCCCCTGTTCCGCTCTGGTAAGGATGGACTACATTCTATCCAGGAGCATCATGAGCAGAGGCGGATTTCCTGGGAAGTTCATGAAGGTTAAGCTTCAGAATTCATTGCCTGTATGGCCCCCTTTGAAGCACTGAGAGAGGATCTAGCCATGGGCTCACATGCTCTTATGTTTTATTACACCGCCAACAGCAACACCGTTTAACCAGCATCTGCTCAGACCATTATTTTTTGCCACTTCAAATTCCCCATTCATATTTTCCCATTTTGGACAGCACTAGAGAGCTTGTACCTATTTATGGAATCTGGACAAGTGGAAGTGAGTTTGGGGATACATTTAGCCTGGATTTAACAGTACTTCTATAATTTGCAGCATTTCTGCATGACAATGAGAACACCAACACATAAGTGACATTAATTCTAGCTAGAAGTACTTACAATTAGTCACAGAACAAGCAAATTCTAAAAGCCCTGAAACCCTGTAGGTCATATACAAAAAAAAAAAATACTTGCTAGAGGTTTTCCCCAAATTCACAACAGTTCTACATATTTCCATGGCATTACTAATTATGAATCCAGAAGCTAAAAGCTATTTTTCTAAACTAGAACAATAAAGTTAATCAGCAATGCTAGAGGAAAGACTGGGTAAGCTAGTCTCTCCATAGAAAAAAATTATAAAATTATTGATATGCAAGTAGGCACCCAAAAATTTGGAACAAATATATGGATGGTACATTAATAAAAATATTGTTATTTTATTGAATTTATTACTGAACAATGCTGAGTAATTATTCTAAATTTGAAGTTTGTTATGATTCTTTTTCTCATTCTTTCTAAATATTCACTTTTCCCTAAATTTTATATTTGTCATTTTATATTCTCTTTTTAAGAGTGGATCCCCCAAAACCTAGCTTCCTCCTACCACGAGCATTCCCACCTTTGCTGATTAGAAGACCTTCCTCTCTTATCCGTCTGTATGACACTGTACCCTTCACTGAGCAGCAGTGTCACTTTGTGGTCAATGGGTGACTCTGGGAATAGAACATTGGATTCAAATCCCAACACTGCCACTTGAGGTCCTGAGAAAGTTCATCTCTCTGTGCCTCACTTTCCTCTTCCATAAAGCAGGGTAGGAATTGTAGTACTACAATTTCATAATCTTGCCTCAGATGATTTTTATGAAGAATAAATGAGATCATGTATTTAAAAGCACCTAGAACTGGGCCTTCAATGTTATAAGTGGTATTTAAGAATTAGCTATCATTATTATTCTCTGAAAATGGACTTAGGGAATGGCTATTACACATGAAGCTCAAGTTTGCCTCCTCCAAAAAGTCTTTCCCAATCTAGTTCTAGATGGTACATCTCTTCCTCTCTTACTCCTATAAAAATTTATTATCCATATTACCACACCACTCATTCAATACTTGCACCTACTCACCTGACCTGTTGTAATACTATCTAATAATTTTTATATATGCTTATTATTTTCTAAATTAGATTATAAGATCCTTAGCATGGGTTGTGAATTGTGCTTCATAACTCTCAAAGTAGCTAGATCAGTACATATAAATATACATACATATTAGTATGTCTGAATATACTGGCATATATGAACATGCATGTCAATGTATTTGGAGAATGAGTCTAAATCTTCCTGTTTCTTGACCAGAAGTTTTCCTTCTAGGACCTGGAAAGAGCCCTGGTACAATTACTCTGACCTGCATTCCTAGATCTCAACCATTGGGAAAGAACTGAAAATACAATGACTTAGCTGTGTGACTAACACTTGGAGTTCATATCCCTTTCTTCTTTACAACATTATTTCTCTCTACGATATCAGGAAACAAAGCTGAGTCTTATGTTTTCTCTACCAAATGAGAATTTATGGAAAATCTGAATTGAACATTTCAGGTCTGTCCAAAGTGAGGAAAGTATCTCTGATTTTTGGAATACAAATCCTTCAAAATACTGATGTAAGATGACTTCTCATTTCATAATCAAGAGAAAGTTTTAGTATATATATGGAGCAGCTAAAGGCCTTTCACTAAACAAGAACATTACAATAATATTTTTGGAGTTTTGAAAGATCTTATTGATCAACCTGTCCAACCCCCTTATTGTACAGATAAGGAAAGTGAGTCTTTGATAGATGAGGTGACTTGCACAAGGCTGTTTAGGGCATTCCTCTTAGAACTGGTACTAGAACTCAGTTTTTCTACTCCTACAATACTGCTCTTCCCATCAAACCAACCCATGTCTAAGTGGAGAAGGCAGAGGAGACTGTATGGAAATACAAGCATCTCAAGATGCCATAAGTCCATCTTGAGAGGGTCAAGATCTCTAATATGCCTCAATAAAGCACATAAAAGTAGACAACTCTTTAAAAATATATAGATATTATTGATTTTTTACATAGAAGAAAGGAGAGGGATAGAGAGCTAAAAACATTAATGAGAGAAAAATATTGACCCATTGCCTCCTGCACACCCCCTACCGGGGATATGCCTGCAACCAATGTACATGCCCTTGACCGGAATCAAACCTGGGACCCTTTAGTTTGCAGACAGATGCTCTATCCACTGAGCCAAACTGGTTTTGGCAAGGATAGACCACTCTTGATAATACTTGACCCATTAAACAGACCACAGTTAAGTCACCTTACAGTAATCAGATGTGTGGGCACAAGGCTGTACTATGCTATTTATAAGGAATCCTGGAAACTCTGCCTTCTTAAGAGAAGGACCTGATTCACTTCTTCCTAGTTAATTTGTCAAAGCACAGCCATGCACAGTTCCTGGTCATTTGATTTCTTGGGTGGCATTGAATAGGAGCTATGTTAGCTTCAGTTACAAACAATTGTCAACATGATATTGGGGGAAAAACAAACCACACTTCAAAACCTGCCACCTGCTAAACCTGTGGAGCTGCCTGAGTTAGTAGTCAGGTCAGGAGAGGAGTAGCATCCAGCAACTTGTTTAGTAAGAATGAAAGGATGGGATACTCCTGATAAGGTGATCACCAATAACAAAGAAAACAAAGCTAACCTCTGAAACTCTGACTATTCTTCAAGTTCTGTCTTGTAGGAAAATGTGGAAGAGAAAATGAAGGGAGGAATTAGTACCTCATTGTGGGGGTTGGGATGCCTCCTGGAAAAGGTCTTTCTGAAGGAGTCTCTAATCTCTCCCAGAAACTAGGCACCAGCTTGGTGTTGGGGGATGAGGAGTCATGGAGAAAATTCCCACCCAAGGACAGAGTACATAGAGAGTAAAGTAAATTTCATTTGGAAACTCAGAAATAATTTTTAGTTATTTTTTCCTAAGGATAAGGAGGCTCTTCTCAAGAAAACATATATGAAAGTCAATGCATTCTTGCCCACCCCCGCCCTCCAGATGGGGAGTTTGTAGCTACATATAATACATTTTCACACTTTTTTTTAAAAAGCAAGTACATATTAAAATGGAAAGATTAAGAAACTAAGAATCTGAAGACAAGGGTCCTGGGTGTGGCTCTTTAGCTTAGTAGGTATATAACCTCAAGCAAGTCACATTCCACACCATTGATAAAATAAAGGAGTGTAGCTTCACCAGTTGATCTCAAAGCTCTCTTTCAGATCTCGTGACCCAATGATAATATTATCTTCTCAAGAAGCTCAAACTATTTTTATGTTTTTTTTTCCCTCTCTCTCTTTTTCAATGATTCTCCATACCTTATTTTAAGCAAATAACTAATAGGAAAATTAAAATGACTTGTATATGAGAAAAAAAATATTCCAGAGAGAGCCATTAGGCTCATCGCCCCACAAAATGTGAAAATAGTACATTGCTACAAACTCCATCCCAGTTAGATTTTGATTAGCCATTGACTACCTGAGTTTCCCTTTATCCCTTCCAGCCCATCTAAAGTGATCATTCTAGGTTTCTCAAAGAAGATGCCATTTGTGGTGGGACAATGCTTCATTGTACCAGACCATTCCTAGGTTCTGCCCACACTAAATGCCATTAACTATCTCTCTCAGTCAGTGTGACCCTCACCACACCTACATTTTCAAGTGTCCCTAAGGAAGTGGCTCTAGTTACTAGCAACTGAAAACCTTATCATCAAAAATTATAGAAAGAAGAGATTATCACCCTTAAATCATTTGAGCCTGTTGTATCTCAGGAACTTATAGGAAAAGATGGAAAAATAATTTGCAGCTCTTGGCTAAAATGGGTTTTGTACATGTTTAGAAGCAACTGCAATTTCATCTGGCTGAACCATTCTATCACCATCTTCTCCCTACACTTCATCTCAGATAACCTAGAGCCGTGTTTTAGGTTTCCATTTGCTTCTCCCCACTATTCCATCCCCCCACCTCCGTCCTCTTACCTGGCATAATGTCCTGCAGGACTCTGTGGGCAAAAGAAACACTAAGCAGAACAGCAAAAACGTATGAGTCATTGTCTTCAATGCAGCTGCCTTTCTTGCTTCTGTAAAAATAAAGGCAAAGGCAAAAGGTTTCCAATCTGAAGCTTTCAAAACTCCATGCCATTGCAGATCCAGTCAGCCTATCAGATGGGGTTCTGTCCTTAGCGCTGTCTATTCAGAAGCCCCTGCCCCAGAGGTGGCCTCCCTGTGGTTTCCCATCCATTGACTTCCCCAGGAGGCTGCATGTGTGAGCGCCAGCTGGCACTGGGAGGTGCAAGCAATGGCTGAGATAACTTTCAGCCTCTGCTGCTGGCTTGCATGTGATGCATCATGTGGGAATGTCTCCAAAGGAAGCTACCTGCCCAGGTGTGATGAATAGCAGCCCATGTCCGGGGAACGGGAAAGATGGCTCACTCTCTGGGTTAGGCAGGGCTGAGAAACATGTGGGTGGCTACGGTGGAACGTGAGTTGGAATTCCTATGTGCAGACTCATCCTAGAAATATATTTTGAAGGAGATTAAGCACCAGCCTTGGCTTATTATCCTCATTCCCACCTCACCCTGGAGCTGTGTTTCATACGTAGGTCACAACTTCTTTCTGCCAAAACTGATGTCGAAATGATTCCTTGGCACCTAGGAGAGTGGGGTACACATGGTGGGCACACACTATATTCAATAAAGGAAGAGGGAAGGAGAGCAAGAGGAAGGTGGTTGGGAAGAGCTGACAATTAGCATCAGGTCTATTCTCTATAGAGGACTAACATAAACTAAAATTTTCAATTCTAAACTTTAATTATTTTAATATTTTTCATCCTGAGTGAGATCTTCTTTGAAAGGCATTTGATGCTTCTTTGCTTTTATTATTATTTTTTTTAACCTTCACCAGAGGAGTGAGGATATTTTTCCCCATTGATTTTTAGAGAGAGTGGAAGGGAGAGTGGGGGAGAGAGACAGAGGAGAGAGGAATTTCAATGCCAGAGAGACACATTGATTGTTTGCCTCACACACATCTGGTGAGAGTGAGGGTGTGTGTGGGGAGGGGACAAACCTGCAACCCAGGTATGTGCCCTTGACTGGAATCAAACTCAAGATCCTCCAGTGTACAGGCAAGGCTCAAACCACTGAACAACGCTGGCCAGGGCTCTGTTTCTTTGCTTTTAGATGGAAAGAGTCAGAAGACTTGGATGTCAATAAAGGCCAAAAGAGAATAGTCTTTATCCCAACCGTGCATAATACTATAGCAAACAATGCCATTATTTTAAAGATTTAGGCAAAATGTATTTTTAAATCATGTTTCTTACATTGAAATACTTGCCTAGCTGAAATTCCATTGAAATCTAATGATTATTTGAAATATTTTTTTTATTATCTGATTCAGATCATTGTCAGTTCAGGTTTCTGAAGGTCTATAACTCTTTAAGCAAAAGGATTACTTTGTTGATCATCACTTCTAAAGAATTTAGTAGCAACCCAAATGGCCATACAATTTTAAGTAAATCACAGCCATATTTACATCCTTTATTCTAATCTGTCATTCAATGGATGGACTTCCCAGGATACAACTCAATCATCAAATGTGACTTAGCAGGATCATCACCAAATCAGTTACTGATTTGGGTAAAATAATTAAAGATGAAAACAAACAAACAAACAAACAAAACCTGATGGTGGATTCGTTGACACGATTCACATAAAATCTGAGCATGAGTCCATGTTTTTCTGAATTGCATGAACTTTATATTAAAATTCTCATCATACAGAATGTCCTTCCTCTTAGCTAAAACAAATTTTTAAAAATGATTTAAGAAATGATTCAAGACAACAAACTCAGAGTTAGCACTACTCAGCCCAAACTCAATAGATTTTTTTTTAAGGAGGAGGCATTGAATTATTTTTAAAGTTGACAAATCAATATGAAAACAATTCTGTTTGCTTAAAATATTGTATTGGAAAAAATTATTTGCTTATTTTCTTGTCATTTTGTTTTAAATTGCTACTATAGTTGAAGATTTAATTTTTAGTAAAATGCTTTTTGATTACTAAAATTATGTGTCTGTGTATGACAAAATAAGCACTTTGTGTTTTATGTGGTAATGATTTTCACCAGGCTGTGTAGAATGGCTTGTTTTGATAGTAATGCTGCTACCTAGTGCCCAGAATTTTCTAACATCTTTCTTAACAATCCAGGTCTACCTTCTCATAGAAGAACTGGGACTACAATTTACAATGTTGTATTTCTCCAATGTTTAGCACTAGTGTGACTCTAATAAGTAGAGCAATTTTAACATTTTTTCAATTCTTTTAACTAGAAAGAACGTTTTCTTAAGTTGACTTTTTTGTATCTTACTTATAAAACTGATTGCTCTTTAAAGAAAAATGGCATAGTTTAATTTGAACTGAAATAGAACCATTTTTCTTACAGATTTGTTCACCTTAAGCCTTTCTCACATTCGCTCTTTTTTCCAACTCCGTGAAAACAGAATGTTTAAATGAAACAAAAGGCTATGGTGGCAAAATAGAAGCATAAATCAAATATTGTGACCACTTCCTACCCCACCACCCCCCAGAGCCTTCATCCCCAATGATGTGAAAAGCCATAAGCCTCTAGTGGTTCAGACCATCTTCCTCAATCAGCCCATATCTTTCTGAAATGTAGGGGTAGCTGGAGTGTAGCTTCCCTCTCAAACAAATGTTTGAATATGTTGGTTTCATGTAGCCCAAGCCAAAACATTCATTACAGACATCCACTTCAGAAAAGGCTAATTTCTAAAAAACATACAACTTGAAAAAACTTGATTCACACACACGAAGAAGAAGAAGAAGAAGAAGAAGAAGAAGAAGAAGAAGAAGAAGAAGAAGAAGAAGAAGAAGAAGAAGAAGAAGGAGGAGGAGGAGGAGGAGGAGGAGGAGGAGGAGGAGGAGGAGGAGGAGGAGGAGGAGGAGGAGGAGGAGGAGGAGGAGAAGGAGAAGGAGAAGGAGAAGGAGAAGGAGAAGGAGAAGGAGAAGGAGAAGGAGAAGGAGAAGGAGAAGGAGAAGGAGAAGGAGAAGGAGAAGGAGAAGGAGAAGGAGAAGGAGAAGGAGAAGGAGAAGAAGATTATATCAGCACTGAAATTTTGACAAGTAAAATGTGCCAAATACAAAAAAAAATTGAATTACACTTCCCTCCTCCCTTATAAAAGTAGAAAGGAACAGCAAAGAGTACAATGGCCAGATTGCAAACAGCTATCTCCAACCATCCAACCTAGAATGCATTCTCCCATTCTCTGTTGTCTGCTTTCCAAATCTGGAAAAGGTGCTTAAGGTGTTCCTTTATATGTTTCTTCAACAAAGAGAAAGTGATCCCCTCATTTTCAAGCAATGCCCTAACAGCTAGACATTAAATAAGGATGACTTCTCTTACTCCTTACCACCTTGAGAAGTCCCAGTGTGGTGGGGCTTCTGAAGCACCCCCAGGGGATTGGGAACTTGGATAGGACTTGTTCCCTAGTGACCTGCAGATCCTAGGAGTCAAGCTAGTGGAATAGAAATGATAAGTAGTATTCCCAAGTTTCAGATCGAAAGCAAACAAACAATTCTCATCTTCGGATGCAATTTAATTTTTAAGTATTTCTTCCACCCTTGTTGAAGAAATACAACACGGACTCCACCCATGTTGAAGTCCTTCGTCCCAAAACTATGTAGTTGACTGGCTGGCACAGCTCATTAGCGAAAGACAGAATGGAGAGAAAGACAATATGTTGTTAGTGGACAGGAGAGGGCCTCCTCTCTCCCGGTTGCTGCTGGGACTAGAATTCTTCCTATATCCCAATAAAAGGAATTTTTCTAAGACTTGCACTGGAGAATGAATGATTGTTTATTTGCATGGAATTAAATCCCTGAGTTTCCAAAATCCCATTTCCTTTTGCCCAATCATAGAAGTGTCTCTGTGATTTCAGTAAAGCTAAAATCAGATCCAGTGTCCAGAGTTTCTTTTCCATGTTGGAGCAGGGGTCCATTCCAGCATCAGGCTATTTTAACATGTTGCCAGCTGTACTGTCCATTAGTTCCTTGCATGTGGGGTCCACAGGACCACCTGCTATGGAGGGAGCACAGGCAAATGCAAGGAAACAGGTGCAAAAGAGACCCATGAGCCAAGAGTATAAAGCAACCAGAGCAACAGGAAAGAGAATTCCTTTATCTAGGATTGTGGTTGGCAAACTCATTAGTCAACAGAGCCAAATATCAACAGTACAATGACTGAGATTTCTCTTGAGAGCCAGATTTTTAAAACTTAAACTTATAATGCCACTTCAAAATAGACTTGCCCAGGCCATGGTATTTTGTGGAAGAGCCATACTTGAGGGGCCGAAGAGCCGAGGTTTGCTGACCACTGGTCTAGAAGATTATATATTTCCAAGTTTTCCATTGGCTTGGAGTTGGCCATGCCTTTTCTGGCCAACCATCTCTGTACCATCTCTGTCTCCAGGTTTGATTGACAAGCAAGTGCCTTCCCTATGTCACCCCAACTTCACTGGTCATGTGTTTATCTTTCCTATGCCCAGTCCTTTCCCCCAGCATTTTGCAGGATGTAGGCTGGTGGTTCCCCAGGGAGTGCAAAGCTGCAGCTTCTTGGTGAAGCTGCACAAATGATATGCTTATAATGTCTGGCTTCCCCCTGTCCCCCTTTCCTATGAGTAATGACTAGTTCATCACAATGGTCCACGTTAACCCACACAAGTGATAGCAACCAGAGCAATTGTATAGGGTGATTTTGGAAAAAAGAAAAACCAAAGCAAAAACTCTACACCTTGATCTCTTCAATCTTGATTAGAAAGAAATTATTGAAATAGCAATCACAGCATTCACAAACAAAAGTCAACAAAACTCCAGACAGAACTTTATCAGCCACTCAGGAGTATTTCAATCACCAGCTTTGTCAGCAGACAGTCTGAGGCTACCACTTGCATAATTAGGTTTTGCAATGAATTCCTGAGGCATCCAGTGAGTTCCACAAAATGCTATCAAGGTTCCCAGACAGACTGTGGGAATACACAT